ATGGGACTCGAGGGGCGTCCCTCGTTCCCGGAACCGCCTCACGCGCTCCCGGCGCTGCCCTATCCGTGCTGCGTGGGCCCCGCCTGCGACCCGGCATCCGTGGCTTTGGGGACGCACCCCGCCCGCAGTGGCGAGGATGGGACTGGGAGAGGCAGCTCTGTCTCAGCCGCGCTCTGGAGCCGACCTCGGCCGGAACCTCCCCATTGTGACGGGAGCGGGGTGTCTCCCAGCCCACGGCGCCGCGGGTCGGCCTGCCCGGAGGGTGGCGGGCGGGGCTGGTGAACTCGGAGCGCAGCCAGCCGCTCCGGGGACCACGGGGTGTGAAGCACTTGGTGTGACCGCGCCTCTGATCGGGGCTGCGGGCGTGAGGGCGAGCGAGCGGGTGCGGGGTGTGCTGCGGGGGTGGTGAGCACGCAGGCTGGAGCCGACCGTCCTGCACGGAGGAGCTGCCAGTTCCCGGGCTCCGCGAGGACCACCTGGATCTGGGCGCGTCGTGGCCACTCCTACTCCGCTGTCTTTCTCAGGGACCCCTGGCCGCGGCAGTAATGATAGCAACAATCATTACCATATTGAGGACTCACTACTTAGCACGTCCTCACAAAGTACTTTCCATATACTAGGCCATTGATACCACACACCAACCCTTCAAAATGGGTTTTATTTTATTTTTTAATTTTACCGATGACGCTCCTGTCATTTTTACATGACTCGCCCCAAGAGGTCACACAGCCAATGAAAGAGTCACACTCGTGTCAGCCCCGGGACGCCCAAACGATTCTGTCTTAAGAACCAAGCTGATTTGCGGGGATCAGCGAGGAAGGGTCAAGAGGGAGGTGAATGGTTATTGGGAAGAGGGGAGGGGGTCCTCCTCTTAAGGCAGAGGCTGAGAGCAGTCCGGGGATGTTGAATAAGTTCTGTACCTGCCATCAGGGGGAGACAGAGGCCAGGCTAAGCTTCCTGCCTGGGAAGGGGGACAGTGGTATCCGGGAGTTGATCACTAGGCCTCCAGGGACACATACCACCCCACCCATGGTCCAAATAGAGACAAGGCCCTGGTGGCCCTAATGCAAGTTAGGGGTAGCCCTCAGGGGCCACTAGCACCCAGTTCACGGTTGGGACTCCACCTCTAGGCTTTGTGGGCAGTGTGCTTCCTGACCACAATCCTCTCTGTTCAGGGGCTGAACTGTGCCCCCCAGAAGAGTAGCTTTCAAATAAAAATCTCATACTGGTCATTCAGGTTTTTAGACTTTCTGTAATCATGCCTGCACTCAGGCCAGAGAGAGAACCAAAGAAAAAGAAGTCACAAGAAGAAGAAGAAGAAAAAAAAATCAGTCCCTAGGCACAGAGAGTGGCGCAGGCAGCGATGCGGATAAAGAACATGCTACCGCTATGGGCATTTCCTTCCTGTTTGAGGAAAAACTGGAACCAACGCTCAGATCAACGGCATAAGCAGCAAGCCAAAGGCTGAAGAAAAAAATATAACAGCCTGGCTATTTTTATTATTCAGTGTTTCTGGGGCAGTTTGCTTACCACTTCTCTGTGTCACCCAGCTCCCCAATCCCTGTGCTTTGCAGCACCCAGCAGGGTGTGGCTGCAAGTGGGCCACAGAGCCAGGGCCCAGGGAGCCCTAGTTCCAGCACCAGATGGTCAGCAGGGATGTCAACAGCTCTCCTGGGCTCCAGAACAGCCTGCTGACCATAGCCAAGTCCTCAGGCTCTCTACTCCCTGAACCTCTCACTTCCTGTTCTTGGCATCATCAGCCTCCTCCTCCTCAGACTGCCCCAGAACCTGGTGAGAAGGCCATCACCTCTACTCCTCCCTGAGGCAGCAGAGAGTGAGAAGGAAAAGGAGTGTGTGTGTGTGTGTGTGTGTGTGTGCGCGCGCGAGATAGTCTCTTCTAAGAAATGAGACTCGGTGTCAGGCCTCAGCTAGGGAGGGGGCTGGGCATCCTTACGGCCCCTTCATCCAGGCTACATGCAGTGGCTCAGAGCTCAGAATTGAGCTTTCCCCCCTTGCCTCTCCCCTCTCCATTTCCCCGACCCCATTGCCTCTCCCCTCTCCATTTCCCCGACCCCAAAGCCCTCCTAACCTAAGAGGGTTGTCCCTTCTCCTAAGAGACAAAAATCACAGACTACCAGCTTCTCCCATTTGTCTACCGCCAAAATCTTACCCTGCAAAGATTAGAACATTGCAATGATGTCGCAATTTTTATGATGAAGAAACTGGGTCTCAAGAGTTTGTTTCCCGAGTTGGCGTTCACATCCCTCATTCTGTGCAATGGTGAGAATGTTCTCTATCTTTTGTGCCCAATACAGGAGTCCCTAGCTACAAGTGGCTATTGAGCACTGGAAATGTGGTGAGTGCCAATGAGAATCTCAATTTTTAAATTTTATTTGATTTCTATTTCTATTTAAATAGAGTTTTATTGACTTCAAAGAGAAAGGGAGAGAGAGAAACATCAATGATGAGAATCATAGATTGGCTGCCTCCTGCACACCCCCTACTGGAGATTGAGCCTGCAACCTGGGCAGGTGCTCTGACCGGGAATCCAACCGGTTCATATGTGGAGGCTCAATCACTGAGCCACACCAGCTGGGCTGATTTCTATTTACATTTTAAAACTACATAACAGTTAGTGGCTACAGTATTAGACAATGCAGTTACAGAATCTTCAAGGCTCTAAAGCCCCGAGGGTCTGCGCAATCACTCCCCACACTCAGCGCCCCCACCCCGGGAAGCCGCAATTCCTGGGAATTTGGAGGAACCTCTCTGAGTGACCCCAGCCTGCAGAGGGATGCTCACCCTGATCCAACCACTGAAATCGGGGGTCCTTCTCGTTCCCTCGGCCCTCCCAGGGGCCCCCAGGGGGCCCCTGCCCCCCGCCCGCCCCCCCGGGCCCCGGGCGCTGTGCGCGGCGATCCGCGCTGCCCCCGAAGGGAGGCGGCGGGGGCTGGGCGGACGGGGGGGCGGCCCCTGGCGCGGAGGGACCCGGCGCGGCGACTGCACGCTCCCGGGCCTGCGGGCCGGAGCCTCGGAGGGACCCTGGCTGAGCTCCCCCGAGCTGGCCGGGCGGGCCGAGCTCCCCCAGTGCGCAGAGAGGGGCCGACATGGCGGTGCTGCCAGTTGGGTCGGAGCCCGGCCGCCTTGGGGACGCAGCAACTTGGTGAGGGTCACAGGGCTCCGGACCAGACAGCACCCGAGCCGGCCGCTGGCACCGCCGTGGGACAGGTAGGCAGGTCCCAGGGACGGGACCCTCGGAATTTGGAGGACTGAGTGGGCGCGGGGACCGGGAGGAGGTACGGGAAGGTTAAAGGTCTGTGGTTCCCATCGTCAACCCCCTGCTGGCACGCTGGCTGCTAATTCTGCCTCGCCATACCCTGCCTGGGGGGCGGGAGGGCGGGGGGACGGGTTGGGAAACTGAGGCAGGAGTGTGGAAGCCCGAGAGCAAATCCCAGAAGCTGCTTTCTCCAGCTCTCTCTGAAGGAGAGAACAGAATGCTGGAAAACCCAGCCTAAATGCCCCCCCCCCCACGTCTTTTGGGTCTTGGGGTTCATGGGAGAGAGAGGACAGTTGGGTTGGCGAGTGTGGCAGCTCAGAGAGAAATGGGATGCGGACTCCCTGGGAGAAGAGGAAGCTGCATTTGTAATGATGAAAGGGAAGGTTCTTAATGGGGCCGGGAGAGGAGGTGCCCCCTCAGAGGAGAGGTCTCCCTAGAAGGTGGGGCGCCCTCTGCCCACAGAGCACCCGTTCCCCAGGGTCTCAGCACCACCGCGCCCTCTGCCCCCTGGGTCTTCTCTGGGCTCTCACTCGGGGGACCCAGGACGCAGCGGTGTGGGTTCTTCCTGGGCCGCATCCTCCTGCCTGCCTCTGTCCACCTCATCCACCTCCCTTTGGAGGCTGAGGGAGGCGAGGTCTTAGGAAGAAACGGAGAAGCTGTTGGGGCTGGAGCCTCTGAGGCTCAGAGAGCTGGAGGACCCCTTCTTGCCCCCTGGAGTGGGAATGGGGGTGAGGGTGTCAGAGTTGAGCCATCTCCGGTGAGTCCAGGAAGCAGGTGTGAGGGGGTAGGACGTGGAAGCAAAGAGGATTCGGGACCTTGGGGTCTGTCCCACGCGCCCCTTTGAGCAGCATCCTGTCCGATTCTGCTCCCTCCCAAGGCCAGACAGGTGACAGCATTGGTTCTTAGACGCCTCCTACCATCAGCCCGGCTTTCCCCCTGGACAGAGAAACTCCCTCAGCTACTCTTCTGAGGCTCAGCACCCTACACGTTCCCACAGCCTGCAAGGGCCCCTGCAGATTCCCCGGGCATAGGGGAGACTGGCGTCTTGGGCTCTGCTTCAGTGCTCAGCCCACCCCCTTCACGCTCAGAAGGGCCAGTGGCTCCCTCGGTCCCTTGCAGCCCCTGAAGCATCTTTCCTACTCGTCCAGGTAGAGTGAGCCTCAGGCCAGTGGATGAACAGACAGAAGCTGAAAGCGCCCAATAAAGGTGAGTTAGGAGGTCATTGAAGGTGGGGGATGGGGTGTAGGGAGACCCAGCACCCTACCAAGGGAGCAGCCAGGTCCTGGCATTGGGTTTGGCCTCTGTTGTTGCCAGCTCTGTGCCTCTGCTTCCCTGGGATTCTATCCATTTCTAGCCCATCTTCTGGGGTGGATTTGGGAGGCCCGAACCATTGAGGACAGAGGAGGAGAAGGAAAGGGGAGGGGAGCAGAAGCAAGGGGGTGCAGTGGGAATGGGGCAGGCTTCTGGGCTCCCCGGCTGTGCCACCCACACGCTGCCTGGCCTTGGGCAAGTCATTTGACTTCTATTAGCCTCTGTTTCACGTCTTCCTTTTTAAATTTAAATTTGTTTAAATTGAATTGCTAGGTTCAAAACCCAACATGTAAAAGGGACAGGGACAAAAATAAGTCTCTCTCTACCTTTCTATCTCCCAGCCAACCAACCAGTTCCCCTTCTTGGTGACAACCAATGTTATCAGGATGTTTTGAACGTTTTCAGAGCTAGCTTATGCCTATTTGAACCACACATATACTCCCTCCCTTTTACACGTTTTATACACACTGTCCTGCACTTTGCTCCCCCGCCCCCGCTTAATGGTGGATTATCATTAGAGATCTTTGCATGCCTGGCACATAAAGTGTTTACCCATTCTTTTCCCCAGCTGCCTGGACGGGACTGCATTTGTACAATGCTCCCCGAACCATTTAGCCAGTCCTTGATTGATGACTGTTTAGTGTGTATCTGGGCTTCTTGAGTATCAGTTTGCTCATCTGTAAAATAGGTACAAGTAATTCGACTTTGTAGGACAGCTGTGGAGGATTCAAGACCCTGTTTGGGACGTGCCTGGGTCAAGTGCTCCAAAACTGGGAGTCAGCATTATCGTTCCTCCCATGTCACAGCCCTCCCTGGGACCCTGTCTGGTTCACCCTTCAAGGCCCCTCCTAACTGTCACCCCCACAAAGCGTTCCAGCAGGACAGGCTCCCTTGCTGCTCCCTTTTCCGCTAGGAAAGCACTCCCTACTTTCTACAGTGAGTTTGTGCCAGGCTGGGCGATGCCTGGGGATGAGGTGTGCACCCTACCCACCTCCTAGTGCACATGTGAGAGGCGCTGGGGCTGGGGTTGCTTGTGCCTGGAGTCGGAGCAAGGTGTGCGCTTCTCTCTGCAGGATGCGTGAGAGGGCCGCGCGGAACTGGAGCACGGGCGGCTGGCTGCTGGCACTCTGCCTGGTCTGGCTGTGGACCCTCCTGGCCTCGGCTTCCTTGCAGCCTCCAACTCCCACAGGTTTGGGGGAGGTGGTGGAACTGGGGAGAGGTTTCCCAGGATACTGGAGAGCTGGACACCACCTTACCCTGTTCTACAGCAGGCAGATCTCCTCTGAGGCTGAGTAAAGCCCACAGATTCTAGGGGTTCTGGCTCCTCCTCTGTTCTTCACCCAAGAAACTCCCCACCCCCTTCTGCTGTCCTGGCCGGAAAACGTGGGCAGAGCCATTCTCACCTTCCCCTTCAGGCCAGAAGGTGTTCTGCAGGGAGAGAGGCCCCCGGTGGGGGCTTAAGTCTAGCCTCCCGGCCTAATTCTGTGGTTTTCCTTCTGGGATGGTAAAGCCTGTGTAAGCGGATGATCCTTCCCACGCATTGTAAGCCCCGGGCCCTTGCCCTCCTGGAGGAAGCTGGGAGGTGTGGGTTGGCTGGGACTTCATCTTCTGCCCAAGGCCATGAGTGGGATGAGTGTGGCCTCACTAGGGAAGCAGGAAGGACAGGAACACGGAGGCAGCAGGAAGATTTCCTCCATTTCCCCCTCCCCTGAGCTGGGAGGAGGGGGTGGAAGAGTGCCCAGGTGGGGGTTGGGGAGAGCAGGGTCACAGGCCTGATCCTCTGCTGGTCCCTCCAGTCCCCGTGAAGCAGGGCACCTGCGAGGTGACGGCTTCTCACCGCTGCTGCAACCGGAACCGCATCGAGGAGCGCTCCCAGACCGTCAAGTGCTCCTGCTCCTCCGGCCAGGTGGCTGGCACCACGCGGGCAAAGCCCTCCTGCGTGGACGGTGAGCAGGAGGCCGGACTGGTGGGAGGGCCTGATGGGAGAGATAAGAAGGTCTGTCTTTTCGGCCTCGCCATCTGCTGGGGATACAATTTCCTACTCATCTCAGGGTTTCCATGTCAGCTCTCAGATGATGGGGCAACCTCTGGGGGCGGGCAGACATGACCATCCCATTTCATAGATGAGAAACCTCCCGCCGGCTGGCACCCACTGCCTGGCACCCACTGCCTGGCACACACACAGACGCGCCCCCTCACACGGATCCTCTCACCTCCTGTTAGACTCGTCGCCTCACGCTCACTCCTGCATTCATGGCCTCCTTCCCAGGCCTCCTCCACACGGACCTCTGCCCCCTCTCACATGGGCACGTGGGAGTCCCTCATCTGCACATTCCTTCACTCCTGGCCTATTCCCTTCCCCAGGCCCCACCCATGCCATTTTCTCACGCTCGAGTGGCAGCACTATAAACGTGCCCACCTGCTTGTGCACGCCTGCTCTGAGGACCCCTCTGAACGGCGCGCACACTTGCTCACATACACCAAGGGGGGTGTTGGGACTGAGCCTCTCTGCTAATGACCTGGTGGCTCAGCTTGAGGGTTTTTCTTCGACACGCGCGCCCTGCCTTCTCCCCACACTGTCTTTGGTGAGGTGCCGGGGTCAGTGGGTTGAGGTTGACACGGTTGTGTGCCCGGGCCTTTCTGGGCAGCCCGAGTAGGGGAAAGACAGGGAACTGCAGGGCTCAAGCCAGGGGTGTGTGCAGGTGGGCACGTCATCCCACACAGACCGTCCCCCCGCTCCCCGACCGCACGCTGTACTCCCAGAGAGCTTAGCGCTGCCCCCATTGCTCTGCTCCCACAGCCTCCATCGTCCTGCAGAGGTGGTGGTGCCAGATGGAGCCCTGCCTGCCGGGGGAGGAGTGCAAGGTGCTGCCGGACCTGTCGGGGTGGAGCTGCAGCCGGGGACACAAGGTCAAAACTACCAAGGTACCCACCCGTGGATGCTTCACCCCCTCCCGCTCCCCTTCCACCTGGGACGGAAAAGGGGGCGCAGGAGCACTGGGAGATGTCAGTGTCCTAAGGAGGGACCTGCAAACCAGGTGGGCACAGCCCCAGACAGTCCCCCAGGTAGGTCTGTCTTGACTCTGGAGTCTGGAGCCAGGGCCCCTGTCCTTCTGAGCAAACTTCCTGATGGTCATCTGCCTTGGTTGCCTCCTCTGCCTGGAGCGAGTTTGCCTCCTGGAAAACGGCAGGTCCGCAGGAACAAAGCAGAGAGTTGAGGCAATTACCTAGATAATTCAGAGCGGACGTTGCTGTAGCCACTCTGCCCAGCCACCCCTGCCACAGACCCCGTCCCACACTCCCAGGATTCCCAGCTCCCCGTGGCTCACACCTGCCTTCCTCTAGCCGAATTGCTTTGCCGGGCTGTGACCCAGGAGAATTCATGGTTTGCTGCCTGGCCCACAGAACAAGGGGTAATGAAGATGTTATCAGACTCGTGAGCAAGTCCATGAGGGTCACGGTTAACCAGTCCGTAGCTCTGTCATCGCCATTTGTACAAAGGATGGTACCGTGGGGCAAGCCAGAACTCTATCTCTGCCTTCCCCGGTCACTCCCACACACAGCAAACAAACAAACAAACACACACACAGGAGGGAAGGCTGCCTTCAGGGTTCCGAATGAGCAACATTTTCAGAGCACAGAACAGAGGGAGCTATAGCCTCCATATAAAGAAGAGCTCCCTATCTCCAGACGGGCAAGGAGACAGCCATTCTGAGAATATTCAAGACCAGAAGAGAGGGAGGCCCTCCCCACAGAGCTGGTAACATTGTCACTATATCTTTTTTTTAATCCTCACCCAAGGATATGTTTTTTTAATTGATTTTAGAGAGAGAAGAAGGAAGAGAGAGAGAGAACAAAAAACATCGATGTGAGAAAGAAGCCTCGATCGGTTGCCTCCCATCCACATCTTCCCTGGGGATGGAACCCCCAAGCTGGGTCTGTGCCCTGACTGGGAATTGACCTCTCGACCTTTTTTGGTGTGTGGGACAATGCTCCAACCAACGAAGCCACCAGGCCCAGCCGGTCACTTCCTAAGGTTGGGTTTGTAGGGCTGCGGATCTCTGTGCCTGCAATTTCGGTAACTAATCGGAAGCACCCTGTGTGGTGAAGAGGAGCCTGACTTACGTTTGCACGGGCCACCCCGCCACGCTTTCCCGGGCTGGGAAGGGCCGGCAGCGATGACCCGCATGACCTGCATGATCCTGGGAGTGTTCCTTCCCTTCTCTAACCTTCTCCCCTCACTTGCTCTCTAGGTGACACGGTAGTTCTTGGGGTCATGGCCTCGGCAGAACAGCTTGGCTGAGCCGTGGACGGAAGCATGGTATCCAGTTATCAGCCGGCAAGTCTAGAGGTTCGCTTCCCTGGACACACGCCCCAGGTCAGAGGCAGCATCCCCTTTCCCAGGGGCGTTCCAGTTAAGCTGCTCGGCGGATATGGACAGACCTCCAGCCACAGACCTAGTGTTGCGCTGGGCTCTCCTGGGGGACACAGCAGAAGGTCACGATACAATACCTGCCCTCAAGGAGTGTCCAGTCAAGTCGGAGAATTGACGAAAGACGCTTTAGATCATGAGCGTGTGGTACCAGACGGTGGCTTCTGGGCCGTAGGCTGTGGGCATGTTGGGGGTGGGGGGTTGAGACTCCCACAGCTCTGCAGCCACTCCCCGGTCACCGGGCACAGAGACAAGAGGTCACATTGACCACCCACCGCTTCTCTCCCTCACATGGGTCCAAAAACCCAGTGAACTGCTAACGTGTTGAAGGAAGACATGTGTCCCTCTGCAGACTGGCTGCACAGCCTTTGCCTGGGACTGGCTTGACTTGCGGAAGGGACGCAGAGATGAAGCCAAACTTTCCAGCAGAGCTTCTGCAGACGGGGGGCCCGGTTTGGGCTGTTCGTTGTTGGGCAAGGGATGGATGGGACCTTCAATCACCGCCATCCAAACACCTCGAGTTTTTGCTTGTTTGAACAGGTGAGGAAACAGTCCCAGAGAGGTGAAGTGACTTGCCCAAGGTCTCACAGCTTGGGCCTCCAACTCTCTGACTACTGACCTTTTCACTTGGCCTGGATGTGGGATTCCCACTGGCCTTCCATGTTGCCTTTTTTTTTTTTCCAGAGAGTAAGGGAGAGAGAGAGAGAGAAACGTCAATGATGGGAGAGAATCACTGATCGGCTGCCTCCTGCACATCTCCTACTGGGGATTGAGCCCACAGCCCAGACATGTGTTCTTTATGGGAATCGAACCCAGGACCATTCAGCCCTCAGGTTGACGCTCTATCCACTGAGCCAAGCCGGCTTGGGCCCATGTTGCTTTTATCTCTGGAAGAGGAACCTTCAAAGACCTGGCTGGACAGCAGCAACATTTCTCTCGGGAGATTCTACAGCAGGAATTTTTTTACCAAGGTCACCGCTCTCCTACCTGAAATGATCCAGATTGCCGACACACCTGGATGTGGGGCCACTGGATCTCCACTCTGCCCTTGGGCCCCATGACAGCCCAGAGTCACCGAACCCAGTTACAGCTGCGACACTGAGCTGGCAGCCCTGTTGCCCACTCTGACCCATCTCTTCCAGAATCCTTAGGCCGTACCTCTCGGGCGCTAAGAGAGGGTCTGGGTGGGGTCCAGGCTGGTCAGCCCTTCAAAGGTCCTGCTGGGCTGGGTGGAACCTCTGCCCAGAGTTCCCGGGTAGACACACAGGCTTCAGGGACTGAGAGCCAGGAGACTTGGGTGGCTCATCAGTAAGAGAATTCCAGCCTCAGTGACTGCTGGGCTCAGCTGGGGTGGCTGGGCGGCAGAGTGTGGGGGGGCCTGGAGAGGAGGGGTGTCAATACCAGCGGAGAGGGGTGGACAGTGCTGAATTCTGACCCTCGGGCGATGGGTTGGGCTTGAGTCTCAGTCCCTGCCTGCTTCCCTCTCTCCCTCCCTCCCACCCTGTGCAGTAGGACTAAGACTGTTCATCCCACTCCAGGGTTTATGTTCTTGTTTTTACTTTGTTTTGTTTGGGGTAATGGGATGAACAGTGATACCATCTTCTCACTAGACTGTAAATATCAGAATTCTGACGACTGAAGCGACTGAAGCTCTGCACACAGTCGGTCACGGGGCGAGGTGGTCAAGGGGTAGGTCAAAGGTCATCACCTTCAAGGCTGGGGAGTGGATCGGGGTTAGCAAACTTTCTGGAAAGGCCCAGGTGATAACTATTTTAGGCTTCACAGGCCACAAAAAGTCTCTTTGGTATATTTTCCTTTGGTGTTTCTCTATTTGTTTTGTTTTTTAAAAAAGAACTTTTTAAAATGTAAAAACTATTCTTAGCTTGAGTGCTGTGCAGAACCAGGCCCCAAGCTGTTTTTGGAAGGTTGCCAGCCCCAGTGGACCTGTGAAGGCGGGCCAGCTCTCATCTCTGCAGCCTAGGTCTTCTGCCCAGCCTCCTGGCCTGCCTCCGGTGCAGCCGCAACCCGAGCAGGAGGTCTGGGTCGGGTTTTGTTTTCCTTCTAATGCTCCCTGAGAGGTCGGGGAGTGAATTATTTAGGCTACAAATGAGACAGCTTTCGCAGAGTCAGACAGGAAGAGCCTGCCCTCCCGGAGGCCGGGTGTGGGCTTCTTCACCTCCCACCCCTGAGACTGTGCCTGGAGGGAGGGAGCGGGCTCAGTCCTGTGCCCATCTGCTGTGTCCACAAGCTGCTGGGCTTTGAGCTAACGGGAAGCCCCACCTCAGTCCTTCTGTACACCCGCTCCCCCCCCACCCCAGGCTCCCTGCAAATGACACAGGCTTCATTAATGTGGGGTAGGGACTGGTTGGGGGGCGGGGGGTGAACTTCACTGGTGACATTTACCAAAGTCATGAACTCAGTGAACATTATAATTTGCTGATTAAAATTTTAATGCTTGTCTTAAGGTCAGAAAACACCAGAGAATGTCAAACGTTGGATGCAGAGAAGTTGACAGAAATAGGAGAGTTGGGGAGTGGCAAGCTAGGGCTGCTTTAGCTGAGGGGGGTGGTCAGGCTGCCTGAGGATGGGACACGTGCTCCTGAGGGACCTGAGTCGGGTGGACACCCCCAGCCTGTTCCAGGTGTGAGGAGGTAGGAAGAGCTTGGACTTCAGAGGGAGGCTGGCCTGGGCTAGCATCTCGCGTGTAACCTGGGGCACAAGGACCCAATTAGTGTCATGGATTGAGAGCAAAGGGTATAACCTCTTTCTGCGCAGCAGGCACGCAGGAAACAGCTATTGCTGTGGCGTATCTGTGACTGGTGGGCTGAGTGGGGGCACAGACCTGTATGTGAGGGTTTGGAGCAGAATCTGTGTCGTGGCTGCGGGGTGGGGAAGCGCCTAGGGTGGGAGGGTGAGTGTGGGGCGCGCGGCTGTGTGTCGCTGGAGCTATGAGCGTCCGGGAGGCCATGACCTCTCTGTAGGTGAGGTTGTCTGCAGGCTCCATCCTTCTTGTGGAGGCCTCCAGACAAGCACGGGAGGAAACCAGAGGGGCGTCCTCCAGGGTCGTCTGGGACGGGGCCTGGCACCCCTTCCCCTGCAGCAGCAGCAGCTTGCAGGCCCTGACTCCGTATTCCAGACATGGCTTCCGTGCCTTCTGTCCCTGGTGACTCGTTAAAAGACTTCAAAGGAGAAACTTCAGACTGGAGACCTCGCTTGCCATCCACATTTTTTAACATTGAAGATATAACCGTACAGAACATGTCTGTGAATGGTAATTAGCCCCTTGAGAGGCAGAACAAAGAGGAGAGAAGAGAGAGACAGTGAGCGGGAGAGGGCCATTGAAATGCTGCCTGGATAGCAAGGGGAAGGGCGCTACGCCGGGAATTCTGCAAAATAACCTCAAGGATACACAGGCCTCATGAAGGTGATAAAGTAACAAGGACAGGATCTGATCCCAGGGAGGAGTAAGTAGGGAGAGAGAGGGAGCTGGTGTGGGAATTTTCCTTCTCGGAGGCAAATGAAGTGGCTGGGCTGCCCCCTGCACAGGGTCAGCAGAGACCAAGATGGGGTACGATAGGCACCGGAAGTATGGGGTGTGGCCCGAGGCTGGTGGTGCAGGCTCCCACCCCTAATCTTTCTTCCTGGCAAGCACTAACCCCAGCCACTTACATCTGAATTCCTATTTTAATAAGAAGCACAAAAATGCATCTTTATTTAGCACCAGGTACATTTGTAAATACTGCCTTATTTCATCCTAACAAGATCCATATGAAGTAAATACTTAGGAAATATCTCCGCTTTATAGATAAGGAGATTGGACATCAAAGGTCACATCCAGGTCAGTTTCCTGACAGTGGATCAAGCTGCTTCTATGCCTTGGGTATTGCAAGTTTAGTTTGTTGTTTTTGAATGATTTCAATTTTCCTTTCCCTCCTGATCACCATGTAAATACATGCTTACTGAAGGGCATTTTAAATATACAGTTACAGAGAAGAATATAAAAATAATGTCTAATTTGTAGTGACCTCTCTTTATATTTTCTTTATGGCTTTGATAATTATTGTAGCCAATGAGATGCCCTCTTAGGAATTCTTTCAACTCTAAGAAACAGACAGCGTGGCTACCAACACGGAGAAAAGAGGTGTTTAAAAAGTAGGTTTATTTTTCTTGTCTGTCAGGATCTCTGAAAGTAGGCCGGTGCCCCTGTTCATTTAGGTTCAGCAATGGATTGACGCCTTGAAATGCTCTCAGCCTTTGCCTCATGGTTACAAAATGGCTGCTGCAGCTCCGAAAATCACAGCCAGGTTCCAGGCAGTGAGAAGAGAACACGCTTTCCCAGAGGCTCCTGCCAGACTTTTGTTTGCAACCCCTGGGCCATAACTGAGTCACAAAGCAACTCGTACCTTTAAGGGAGGCTAGGAAAAAAAAGAAATGTGCTTCTCCACACTCTCTAATTGAAGTGGATTCGGGCCCCAGAGAGGAACTAAAACATAAGCCTCTTTTCCAGGGTGGGGCATTAATGCTTCCTTTGGTTTCGGAGGCTTGGGTGAGGCAGGAAGATACAGCTTCGGCCCTATGAAACAGCCCTCTGAAATTTGCACACCACCCCTCTTCCGGGAGGAGAGGCATTAGATTCACGCGAGCCTCGCTATGGACACCCCATCGTCAGGGCCTCCTTAATGGCATGCACACCGGGTGCATCCTGTTCCAGACCTGTGGGTCCCAGGGATGCTCTGCGACTCGAGGCTTTGCCTCACTCTCCCTCCACCTTGCCTGGGTTTGATGCTGCCTCCTCCCTGGTCCTGCAGGGCACCAGGAAGTCACACCTGCCCGTCACATGTGTTGTCTGTCCAGTGCTAGGCTTCCCTTCTCCTGGGATTGCCGTTGCCCGAGTGCTGCTTCCCCTCCACTCCCAGCCTCATGCTTTGGG